TCCCTGCCTTCCCTGTGTCGAGGGGCGGCAGCGCGCCGCTCCTCACTCCTCCTCGTTTCCCCCGACGACTGCTCCCTTGCAGACGCTCCACATGGACGTGTGGGGCCCAGCCCGCGTCCGTGGACAGGGTCAGGAGAGGTACTTCCTGATCGTTGTTGACGACTACTCGCGCTACACCACGGTCTTCCCCTTGCGCACCAAGGGTGAGGTCCCTGATGTTTTGATCCCTTGGATCCGCGCTGCTCGTCTCCAGCTCAGTGAGCGGTTCCACTCGGACTTTCCTGTCCTGCGTCTGCACTCTGACAGAGGTGGTGAGTTCTCCTCTGACCTCTTGGCAGCCTACTGTGCGGAGCACGGCATCCGCCAGTCGTTCACGCTTCCGGCCTCTCCACAGCAGAATGGGGTTGCTGAGCGCCGCATTGGTTTGGTCATGGAGGTCGCTCGTACCTCCTTGATCCATGCGGCTGCCCCCCACTTTCTGTGGCCGTTTGCGGTCCGATACGCTGCGCATCAGCTCAACCTCTGGCCCCGTGTCTCCGTTCCGGAGACTTCGCCGACACTGCGTTGGACGGGAGAGGTTGGCGATGCGTCGCGTTTTCGGGTCTGGGGGTCCCGAGCTTTTGTTCGCGATACGTTCGCGGACAAGCTCTCCTCCCGCGCTGTTCCCTGTGTCTTCCTTGGCTTTGTCCCGGACGCGTCTGGTTGGCAGTTTTACCACGCCACCTCGCGCCGTGTCCTGCCCTCTCAGGACGTCACTTTTGACGAGTCCGTGCCCTACTACCGCCTCTTCCCCTACCGCACTGCCCCGCTCCCCCTCCCGCCTCTCTTCCTCGTGCCAGGTGCTGCTGTGGTAGACCCCCTCCCCCCTCAGGGTGCCGCTCCCTCAGGTGTGTCCCAGGTAGACCCGGTTGAGCCTGTCGAGGTAGCTGTCGACTCTCGTCTTGCCAGGGGTGCTGAGCCTGAGCGTGCGGAGCCTGGGGTTGCGGAGTCTGGGGGTGCTGAGCCTGGGGGTGCGGGGTCTGGGGGTGCGGAGCCTGCGGGTGCTGAGTCTGGGGGTGCTGAGCCTGGGGGTGCGGAGCCTGCGGGTGCTGAGTCTGGAGGTGCTGAGCCTGGGGGTGCTGAGCCTGGGAGTGCTACGTCTGAGAGTACTGAGCCTGAGCGTGCTGCACCTGGGGGAGGCCTCTCCTCGCAGCAGCTGCGTGAGTGGTACTTACAGTACTGCAGCCTCAGGAGAGGTGCTTCTGGAGCTCGGAGTGGTGCCGGAGCTGGTGCTAGTGCTTCCCCTCCTAGGCGGGAGCTGCCCTCTCCCCAGCAGCTCCGAGAGTGGTACGCTAGGCGCTGCAGTCTCCGGAGTGGCGCTCCCGGTGTCGTGGACTCTGGAGCTTCTGGAGTTATTGGAGGTGCTGCTGCTGCTGGCGGTGCGGCTGGCGCTGCTGGAGGTGCTGCTGGTGCTGCTGGAGCTGCTGGAGGTACTGCTGCTGCTGGAGGTGCTGCTGGCGCTGCTGGAGGTACTACTGGTTCTGGTGCTGCTGGAGCTGCTGGAGGTGCTGCTGCTGCTGGCGGTGCGGCTGGCGCTGCTGGAGGTGCTGCTGGTGCTGCTGGCGCTGCTGGAGGTGCTACTGGTGCTGGAGCTACTGGAGCTGCTGGTGGTACTGCTGCTGCTGGCGGTGCTGCTGGCGCTGCTGGAGGTGCTGCTGGTACTGGTGCTGCTGGAGCTGCTGGAGGTGCTGCTGCTGCTGCTGGTGGTGCTGCTGGCACTGCTGGAGGTGCTGCTGGTACTGGAGCTGCTGGGGACCCTGCTGCTGCTGGCGGTGCTGCTGGAGCTGCTGGGACTGGCCCTGCTGAGGGGGTTGGAGCTGGAGGTGCTGAGCGGCCACGGCCGTACTACGTTCCGCTCCTTCAGCAGGTTCTTGGCCTTCCGCCCTCTCCTGGTCCTACTCCTCCCCTACTGAGTCCACCGCTTGTCCAGTCGCAGTCACAGTTACAGCCAGTCTCTCCACTTCCTGGTCCTTCTCCCTACACTGCGCCGACGGGAGGTCTTACGGAGCGTCGTGAGCCTGAGTCTCGTCCTCCGTCGCCTGAGACGCGTCCAGAGTCACCTGTCCGCGCTGTCCGCGCTGGTCGTCGTGTTCCACGTCAGCGTCCTCCTCCTGTCCTTGGCACTCACTATATGACCCTGCGTCCCTCTACTGCTCCACAGCGTGTCCCACTGCCGTCTCCACCAGCGTCCTCTCTTCCTGCTCTTGCTGACCCGGAGTCTGACTCTCTTCGTGCTGCCAGTCCTACTGTCACGCGTCTCCTTGCCACTGCTGTCACTGACCCTTCCTTTGAGTCCTCTGCTGCGTCTGCTCTAGTCGCTGAGCTTGTTGACTTTGCTGCTGCCTGTCGTCTAGACTACGCCGCTAGCCTTGTTGCTGAGTCTGAGTCTGAGTCTGTCTGTCCTCCGTCTGTCGGGGGTGAGTGTGCTCTTGGCACGGACGTCCTTGAGGACAGACAGGAGGAGTTTGAGTGCTTTGCCACTGCTTTGCCTCATCTCGTGTCCATGCTAGTTGCCCCTGAGGGAGACCCGGATGCACCAGACATCCCGACCCCACGCTCCTACGCAGAGGCGATGGAGGGTCCCTACTCCTCTCAGTGGCAGACAGCCATGGACGCAGAGATGGCATCCTGGAAGTCCACAGGCACCTACGTCGACGAGGTTCCCCCACCTGGGGCGAACATCGTCAGTGGCATGTGGATTTTCAGGGTGAAGCGGCCGCCGGGTTCTCCGCCTGTCTTCAAGGCGCGTTACGTTGCACGAGGCTTCAGTCAGCGAGAGGGAGTTGACTTCTTCCAGACCTTCTCCCCGACCCCGAAGATGACCACTCTTCGGGTTCTGCTGCACGTCGCTGCTCAGCGTGACTACGAGCTCCACTCTCTTGACTTCAGCACTGCGTTCTTACAGGGCAGCCTGCACGAGGAGATCTGGCTGCGCCGCCCACCTGGCTTCACTGGGTCGTTCCCTCCTGGTACCCAGTGGAGCCTCCGGCGGCCAGTCTACGGTCTCCGCCAGGCACCCCGTGAGTGGCACGACACACTGAGGACTACTCTTGCTGCTCTTGGGTTTGCTCCTTCTACTGCTGACCCGTCGCTGTTTCTACGCACCGACACCACTCTGCCGCCGTTCTACGTTCTTGTTTACGTAGACGACTTGGTCTTTGCTACTGCTGACACTGAGGCACTCGCCCACGTGAAGTCGGAGCTGCAGAAGAGACACACGTGCACAGACCTGGGTGAGCTGACAAGCTATCTTGGCTTGCGGATCACCCGGGACAGAGCACAGCGCACCATCACCTTGACTCAGTCACACATGGTGCAGCAGGTCCTTCAGCGCTTCCGCTTCACGTACTCCTCGCCTCAGCCCACTCCTCTGCCTACCGGTCACTCGCTCTCAGCTCTGCCTTCGGATGAGTCCGTAGAGCCGAGTGGCCCGTATCCAGAGCTTGTGGGCTGCCTCATGTACCTGATGACCTGCACTCGACCTGACCTGGCATACCCTCTTAGCATCCTAGCACGCTATGTCGCTCCCGGCCGTCACCGAAAGGAGCACATGGATGCCGCTAAGAGGGTGTTGTGCTACTTGTGCAGTACGTCGGGCATGGGGCTCGTGCTTGGAGGTCGGAGCGACGTTGTCCTCACGGGTCACTCAGACGCTTCTTGGGCTGACGACCAGGCTACGCAGCGGTCGTCTCAGGGTTACACCTTCAGCCTTGGCTCTGGTTCAGTTTCTTGGCGTTCTACTCGCTCTTCTTCTGTTCTCAGCTCCAGTTGTGAGGCTGAGATCTACGCCACAGCCATGGCTGCACAGGAGTTACGCTGGCTCACCTACCTGCTGACCGACCTGGGAGAGCGGCCTCGTTCTCCTCCAGTGCTGTACGTTGACAACAAGGCCGCCATTGCCTTGTGTGAGGAGCACAGACTGGAGCACAGGACGAAGCACATCGCTCTGCGCTACTTCCTTGCTCGAGAGCTGCAGCAGCGTGGTCAGCTTCGTCTGCGTTACGTGGCCACTCGGGCCAACACTGCTGATGTGTTCACCAAGGCGCTTCAGCCTTGTGACCATCAGCGTTTCTGTACTGTTCTAGGCCTTGTGCCTACTCTCCCTCACTTGCTCACTTCTTGACTCTGCTTGTACTGTGATCTCTATATATATATACCTGCATGTTTACTCTTGTTAGGTTGTGATCACTGTACCTCTTGTTATATTATCAAACTGCATGTGAACTGGTCTTGTGACCACTTGCTTGTGCTCGGAATTTGTGTGGTTTCCTTGAGATCCACCCTGAGCTTGCTTTGCTTTGCTTTGACTGGTCTTGTGACCATCTGGTTGTCTCCCACTTAGCCTATGGGGGTGTGTCAAACATTATACATGTTCATATTGTGTAGGCTATAGTGGGTTTAGCCTTAGGGGGTACAACATTGCTAGGGTTTCCTACTTGTATCACCCTGCTGCCTAGTTTCACACATTCTCGTTCAGTTCTACATTCTAACATCCGAAGCAGGGCGATAACTCCGTTCTTCGAGCCAGTCATGACGGATGCACCATCCGTTGAAACCCCGACAAGCTTGTCCATCGACATGTCCTTCGACCACAGGCACTTCACGATCGTGTCGTACAGTGCAGCGGCGTCGCAACGCTCGAGCGACAGGAGAGCAAGAAACTGGGACACCACGGCCTCGCCTCTCTCAAACGTGACATACACGATGAGGTGCTTTCCGCGGGCGCGATCCGTGGATTCATCGAAGGAGAGGCTGTACCAGGCCGACTCTTTGACGTCCACGAGCTGCCTGGCCACCAGATGCTCCGCCATAGCCTCTACGAACTCGCCGAAGGCGTATCTGCAATGAGCACCAAATGTACGTTACTCACAGTATAACACAAGCACAAGTACGAAAATACAGAGGCAACGAAGAGAAGAAACAGCAGGACATTAGGTGCAGAACCAGAGGGTAACAAACACTTACCGCGAGTAATAACGCCCGTAGGATTCGCTGTTCATCATGTCGGGGCATCCTTGCTCCGCCATGAACCGCACCAGCATGGGGTAGAGAGCGATCGGTGCATCGTTCTGCGCAATCCACTGAGCTGCTTGCATGCATTTGACGACCCTCGCCATGACTGGATCGCCGCTGAGCATGTTCACGAGGCTGCGCTGCCTCACCTCCGTGCCAGCAGCGAGTCGTTCTGCTTCCATGGCCGCGAGGTGCACCTTGGACTGGTCATGGTTGCGGCACGCCGACTTCTGAAAGTCCCTTGCACCGACGCCAGCACCGCCAAAGGGAGACTTGGTGTTAGGAGCGAACTTACAGCACACGGAACACTTCATACCATACAGGCGCTCCTCTTTGTTGTACTTCAGTGTCAGCCACGAGTACGTCTGCTTCCACGACGGGCTGAAGCGACGTGCCATACCCTTCTCAGCAGCAGGGATCTCGGTGTCCGGGGGCACTTCTGCATCCTCGGCGATAGCCTTGTCCTGCGCCTCCAGCTCCTCAGCAGTGGGTGGAGGCGGTACGCTTCGTGCGCGCTTTCGCGAATCTGGTGGCGGACTTGCGAAGCTAAGGTGAACCTGACGGTAGCGGGCTGCTGACAGAGGTGTAGTCTGTGACGATGATGCTTGCTGGGCGAGGCGCGGGTCCAACACTGAGATTGCTACGTCTAGCATGTCTTCAGCATCCGAGGGTACGTAAGGCTCGGTCTCGGTCGTAGTATGAGAATGACTAACGTTCGACATGGGCAAAACTGGAGGAGGGGTTTCACCCTCGCTAGGATCCATTGTGGGAGAATGTGGCTGACGAAGCGAACGAGTTAGCTACCCATACTATAAACATCGTGTGCGTGAGCTAGGCGACGCGAGGTTTACTCGGCAGAGTGGTTGGGTGGAGGAGAAGTGCCATAGCATGGCACGTACGAGAGGGGAGGGGAGAGCTGAGGGCTTGGGTGGATGATACCGTGGAGGTGGTGGGACGGTGCGGAAGAGAAAACATGGGTGGGATGTGGTGGTGGATGGATTGCATGGTGGTGGAGAGGAATCGTGGCTCGCACGAACGAAGGTGGTGAGGGAGGGAGCTGCTGCGCTGGAGTGCTTCAGTTCCTTTGACGTGCTGTGGTTTAGTGTCTTAGATGTCTCTGTGGCCAAACAACTTAGCCAGATTTACCCAAGATAATCCCATGTGTCACAGCTGTACACTGCGGCCAGCTCGTATTGGACGCTAAGGGAATGTGCGGGTGCTCCTAGGCTGACTGAGAGACACGCTACACACACGGGATTGGCTACAAAACGCTAAGGGAAAAATCCCCTTGGCGCGCTCTAGTGCAGGCTAAGGAGAAAGAGGGGGGGGAGGGGGGGGGGGGGGGGGTCCTACGATCTGAAACCAAAACTTAGATAAAGGGGAAGGCCTGGTTTCGTCCCTTAACGCATCCGGGCAAGGGTCGAATGAAGCACTTAGTGGCACGGGTGGGGTGCGAAACAAAAACTTGACGCATTGGAGCTGGAGCGAAACTAGCCCTTAATGTTCAGGGCATTAAGGGCATATGCCCGTCAATCGACAGGCCTGGTTGAGACCCGTTGGATTGGGATGATTTGGGGACGAAACGGTCTGGATGGAAGCATACCCAGCTGTGCTGGTCGGGGCGACCAACAGCTCCAGTGACCTCGCATGGCCACGTCATGCTGGTGTGGCAGAAAATTCGGGTACATGAATTTATTTGCCGCTTGCAGCTATTTTTGAATTCACGAATAAATTGGAAAAATCAATTATGTAGTCATCCATACAGACAGTTTGTTTGATCAGCTCATGGGGATTGCAAGGCATGAAAGGCATGCCATTCAATCCATATGAGCTCACCATTTGAGAAGTCTACATTTCTACGGTAACCTATACATAGTATATATCGTTTCCCTACTACAGACATGCTACTGGACTTTGGAATGTCTTGTGGATGCCACTTCCGCGATCCGGGCCCCCCTTAGCTTGCCCAACTGTGACAGTGTCACAGGAATGAGAGGCAAAAGCGTGCCAACCCAACCCATGCCTCTGTACGCCACAAGTGTTTGTGAAGCAGAGAGGAGAATGAAACCCTGCGCCGAGTAGTTGGCACCGAGGAAGGAGTAGAGGGAGTGCAGCATGGAGACTGTGAGGGAGAGGAGGCGTGAGGAGGTGGGGATGGTGCGCTGGTAGCGGTAGATGATTCTTGAGCCCATGATGAGCCACGCCATGTTGAGGGCGAAAAAGAAGTCTCCAATGTACACGCCCTGCATTGAGCACAGAGGGGCCATGGGGCGAAAGGAATATACGCATTGTCAGTGCGTGGCACAGAGGGAATCAGGCATGGCACGGAGACATGGCAGATGCTGGAATGGCATGGAAAGTGGGGAGGGGGCATGAAAGGTGGAGTGGGGTGTGGAGAGCAGAAGGCCGGAGAGGGGGGAGTGCGGAAGGTGGGCTTACATGCCAGACGGCGCTAGTGCAGACTGTGAGTATCAGCGGCAGCACGCCTGGCTTCTGCCCCTCGGGTGTCACGCGCTCGTAGATGTCTGCACGTCAAAGGTGGGGGAGGGGAGGCGTGGGGAGGAGAGAGTGAGTACGCTGAGAGGAGAACACAACCAGAGGGCAAAGCAGTCATGTGGCGAGTGGCGGAAAAGCGGTAGAGAGAAGCAAGGGGGAGGGGGAGGGAGAGGCGGACTCACAGGTGCGGAGCCATTCGCCGGTGCGCACGTTCCAGTTCTTGGCGAAGCCATGCATGCCCGTCACGGCCTCCACCCCCACGATGTCAATGTTGCGCGCCCGCTTCCAGCTCGCCTCCTTCGCTTCCACCTCCCGCTCCCTCTCTTCCCCCTCCCACTCCTTCTCCTTCTCCTCGTCCGAGTCGATCTGTTCCAGCTGCGGCACTGCTGCTGCTACAGTCATTCTCGGCCTCGACTTGCTGCTCGTCTTTCTCACACTCGCTCTGACCAGAGGCGCGCTGTTCTCGTCTTCATCACTATCCGATAGTATCACGCTGCCCTCGACAGCAGTCGGCAGTGCAGGTACGTCCGCGTCACCACCGTTCGCACTCCTCTCCCCGAGAACCTTGCTCAGTGCCGCGCAATCCGCCTGCACCGCCAGTCCCCCGCGCCGTCCCCTAGGCTCCGCTTTCTCTCCCCGCGCTCTGCTGCTGCTGCTGCTGCCACCGCTAGCAGCGGCAGCTGCGCGTTTTGGCACCCATCCGCTGAAACCCAGTCCGCTCGCGACCATGCTGCCCTCCGCCACCATCCACACGTAGTAAATCTTCGTACGTACGGCGTACGTCGCCAGAATCGCGTAACCCCATCGCGCCACGTACGGAACGCTCCAGACATGAGCGGGGTCTGACGTGATCATGACGTTCATACGCGGTTTAAGCATCAGGTGGAGCAGCCCCGACGGTACAGCCCATGCCAGTGCCGTCAAAAGCGGCACCAAGAACGGCGCCTTCCGCGCGGGTCGTGACCACACACCCTCGTGCCTCGCCCACTCGAGGTACGGTTTCATTTCGAAATACGGTCCTGTGAGATGTAACCCGCCGCAGAACATGTAGCCCATGAATTCAAGCGGAGAAGGAAGGTCGCGCAAATGCCGGTCCGCACCGCAGACAGGCCGCCCGTTAGCAGCGGCACTCGTGGCGGAATCGGCGGCGACGGGGTCGGAGAGGTATTGGCCGTCCTGGTAGTCGAAGGCGCATGACGTCAGCTTGAGCGTCACCATCATAAGCGTGCCCGCGAAGTCGATGCCCTGATCCCTGCGCGCCGAGCCGCTATCGTACACCACGTGGCTGAAATATCGGAGGGAACAGCAGGGAGGTGAAGAAAAGATATGGAAGAAGGGATCGTTATTAGTAGTGACTTTAAAGCGCGGAAGGGAGGACGCGAGTGCAAAGCGGTGCTTGGAAGTAAGCGTAAGGATGAAACAGACGAGGCTTACCATACGATGAGGTAAGCAAATGTGCCGAGCAGAGTGATTATCCCGCATCGTTTCCGATACAAGCACATTGCGCTATAAGCGAAGGTGAGGAGCACAGTATAGTGCGCCCAGATGGTGGGACCGAAAGCAGAGAGCGCGAGAAACAGTCCGGTAAGCGCGCCGATGGCATGGCGCGCAGAGGTGGAGAGGGTGGCGCGGAGGAGCAGACAGCAGGGGATGGAGAGGAGCGGCGAGACGAGAGAGATGAGTGTGGTGGGCGTTATGCCTAGCTCGGACAGCAAGTTCCCTCTAGATGCCGACGCCATGTGCGTGTGTGAGCTAGGCACAGATGGGGAAGAGAAGTGTTCCTGTCGTGTGCCTTGGAGATCAATTGCGATGTAAGCTGGAAAGTGAGCAGGGGAGCTTGTTGTGATGGGCGAGAAGAGTGGAGAAATGTGGATGGGTATGCGTGCAGCGCAACCCAATTTATCTGAAATGCGCAGCTTGCGAATGCGAACTTCTCGCATTCGTGCGGCTGGCCCCTCACTTCGTGGCATCCGCGTCGCGTTCCAGTTCCGCGCCTCGATGTTTGAGAGCCTAGCCTAGCCTCCCCGACTTGCAAGTCATTCCTGTCGTCACCGAATGTCGGTGTGATGGCTGACGTGGATGACATTACCAGCAAGAGTACACTACGCATTCAGCCCTGGTGGAGGGGGACGAGTGTGGTTGATGCGTTTCATGTATTTTGTTTCTTGCGACACCAGAGGACAAAATTTGATGATTTGGCCTGGAACTCCGGCAGAGGGTTCATTCGTTCAGCCCAGCTGTAACGCGTTCGGCGTGAAGCAAGGCTCGTCCCTTCCCTGAATTCGTACGCTGCGCCACATCACACCTACAGAAATCTCTGTGCATCTTCACCAACGTCAGGTTCGTTCCGCGAAGCTAGGCGCAGGCTAGAAAGGTAAGGGTACATTTTGCCTAATACAATGCCTTCAGATAAACATCTCAAGACACTCACAGGCTTCACACATAATTTTCATCATACCAAATAGATAGGCATCAATGCTCTATACCATACCAAACTCACTTCACATCCTTCACGCCAAAATTCACAAGGGTTCGCTCCATTAGTTCGTAAAAGCGTGCAATTTGTGAAGGTTGATCGAGAAGCTCAAGGGAGCAACAAAGGATGAGTGGGGAGAAGGGAGCTAGATGGTGCCGGACAAAATGTGGATCCCTATCAAAGTCCTGCAGATAAACGGGAGGGCAGTGATGAAATGGGGGAAAGAGATATTGGGGGCTGGGAGAAAGCAGGACGAAAAGGACCTTCCATGGAGTGAATACATGAGCAAAGCTCCCCGGTGGGTAACAGTAGCATCCCAACAAATACTCCACACACACACGCACTCACCTTCTCTGTCAGTATCAACAACGGCCCACGCCCACACGCAGCATTACCCTCGCCTCCTCCATTTCCTCGTCTCATCCCGCGTGCGTCCAGGCCTTGCGCATCATGGGAGGGTGTGCTAGGGTCAGGCGCATGTGAGAGGAGGGCGAGGGCTTCTTGCACTGCCCGCACCTCCTGGCCGAGGGGTCACAGCAGGCAGGGGGAAACGAGAGAAGGGGGGGAGTGGAAGGAGATAAGGGACAGGGGCACAAGGAAGCGGAGAGGTATCCCAGTTGGCTGTGGGGTTCTTTCACCATGCACGTGGGCATGCATGCATGTGGGCACGTGGGCATGCATGCATGTGGGCACGTGGGCATGCATGCATGTGGGCACGTGGGCATGCATGCATGTGGGCACGTGGGCATGCATGCACTGGGCAGCAGTGAGCGGCAGGGGGGAGGCAGGGAGTGTGAGCGACTGACCTGGAGGGAGAAGGGCGAGTGGTCAGGCAGGGCGATGCTCACCACCCGCCTCAGGTGCAGCTGGGGGGAGGAGGGGCAGAGAGATGGAACAGGGGGGGAAATGCGGTGGGGGTGAAAGATGCACGGGTGATGGGCCCACTGGAACCACCATCATCAGTGGCGCCAAAACTTCTCGCCCAGTTGCCATCCACCACTCTCGTGCCCTCACCTGTGTCTGCAGCGTAGCTTGCAGGGCCTCGGGCGAGCCAATGGCAGAGAGACACACGGCATCACGCCCCGCCACGCTCTCACACGCCACCACCCTGTCCCCGCCTCCTGCCTCCCCTCCCTTTCCTCTTTCTCCCCCCCCTCCCCCCTCTCCTGCTTCCCCAGCCCCCTCTTCCCCATGGCAGAGCAGCAGGCGCGCGTGCCCTGTGCCCTGGGCGCCTTCCAAGGCTGTGCTGCCCCGCGGCTCATGGCACGCAGGAGAGGAAAGTGGGCGGGCAGGGGAGGTAGGCGTGGGATGCAGAGGAGGACGGTACGTGGAGGGGTGTTCTGGCGGAGTGGGGAGAGAATGAGGGGGGAGGCGAGGGAAGGAGGCGCAGGGGCAGGGCGAGGGGGAGAGGAGGTGGAGGGGGCGGAGGGAGGAGTGGAGGAGGAGGGCGTGTGGTGGCATGTGGTGCTGTAGCTGTGCTGCTAGCGCTGCCACACACGCTGGGGGTGCCTGCACACATGGCGGTGATGAAAAATGCAAGTCGAAATTGCTGTTTAGTTAGTGGCACCCATGAGGTCGTTTGTGAGTTGACTGAACCGCACCAGGCAACATTGCATAATATCATCATGGGATCAGCGCAACTGCGATGTCAGCAATGGCGGTTACCAGGTCAGCATTGTGGATCACCACCACATCTGCCCGTTGCAGCGCCTCAAGCCGCTCTCTCATTGGTCCACGTGGCACCAGCTGCCCGTTGCCCCACGGACTGCTGCAACCTGACTGCCCTTGCCCGTGCCCGTGCCCGTGCCCTTGCCCGTGCCCGTGCCCGTGCCCGTGCCCGTGCCCTTGCCCATGCCCGTGCCCGTGCCCGTGCCCGTGCCCGTGCCCGTGCCCTTGCCCTTGCCCGTGCCCGTGCCCGTGCCCGTGCCCTTGCCCGTGCCCGTGCCCGTGCGCGTGCCCGTGCCCGTGCCCGTGCGCGTGCCCGTGCCCGTGCCCGTGCCCGTGCCCGTGCCCGTGCGCGTGCGCGTGTACATGGGGTTGCACTTGCACATGCGGCGGCACGGCATTCAGCATGACGATGTCAAGATCGCGATGCAGCGCCCAGTGCTGGCAGGGGAAGAGGGGAGGAGGGGACTCAGGGGGTGATCGTAAGAGCAAGGAACAGTACTAGTGTGAAACGGAACAATGTACATGTTGGACCATGAATGAATGGAAACGCCAAAGCATGCAAAATGCTGTAGAGAGTACATGCCCGAGTATGCCATACACATTCACACCTGCATGCCATCGTCCATGATCACCGCAGCAACAGGCCCAACAGCAGCACCACCCCCATCCAACCCCCCATGGCCCCTCCCCTCCTCTTTCCTCCCCTCCTCTTTCTTCCCCTCATGCCTTCCCCCGCCCAGTGCTCCCCCTCCCCATCCCCTCCACGCCCCGAACTGGCCAATCACTCGCCGTGCCACGTCAGCGTGCTTCCGTCCCACTGCAATGATAATTGGCCGGCCGCTGAGCTGGCGCTGCAGCATGCGCGCCTCGTCACCCCCTGCATAGCCCTTGGAGCCACGTGGCAGGGAAGTCGGGGGAAGGTGGGTGAAAGGGGGCAATGAGGGGCAATGAGGGGGGAGGAGAGGCGAGGAGGAGCGAGGGATGTGAGGAGGGAGGCAATAGAGAGGATGGAAGAGCAGGGAATGGAGCAAGGGGGGGTGAGGAATGTGGTATATAAATAGCTGTGAGGTGGGGCAAGTAAAGAGGTGGGGAGGAAGAGAGGATGGGTGCTCACCCGGGAGAGGATGAGGATCGAAGGCGTGCGAGGGGGAGGGGTGGGGGAGGAAGAGTTGGAGGGGGGTGTGGGAGAGGGGAAGGAGGAGGTGGGGATGGTGGTAGTGGCTGACGAGGCAGGTTGTGAGTGCGGGGCGGTATTGAGGAGTGAGAGGAGATGCCGAGCGGTGCAGGCGACCATGGGCGTCTTTCCATTGCCCCCCCAGGTGATGTTCCCCACGCTTATCACCGCCACCCCCACCCTGCCATGCCCCTCCCCACAGCGGCCCCGGGAAGGGGGACGGGAGGAAGAGAGGAGAAGCGGAAGGGGGATGTGGAATGGGGCAAGGAGGGAAGTGCCGCTACCAACCCACTCCCCACACCACTCCCCACACCACTCCCCAACCCACTCCCCAGTTCACTTCCCAGTGCTGCTGCCATACCCACTCCCATATGCGCACCTGCTTCGCTTCCACCATCCGCGTTGGTACATCTCCCACCGCGCGCGCATCACTGCGCCGTACCCCGCGGCTCCCCCCGCCAGCAGCGCCACCGCCACCGCTCGCAGCGGGCGCGGAAGCCACACGCGCGGACGCGGAAGCGCCCCGTTCGCGGCTTGCGTCCCCCCACGACCCTCATCACTGGCGGAAATTCCCCCTGGAGCGCCGGGGGAAGCGGAAGGAGGCAATCTAGAAGGCGCAGTGTGTGCGGTCGAGGGATGCGCGGGGCTGTTCGGGGAAACGCATCGGGAAATGCGGGCGGCCAAGGACCGTTGTGGCGGCTCATAGGCCAGAGTAACTATGACGTCAGCAAGCCATCTCCGCAGCTGCTGCCCCCACGTGGCAGCCCCTGAGTGGCCGGACGCGCGCTCGCTGCACATGCAATCCCGAGGTGGCGGCTGGCGCGGACCGGCGGCGCGAGAGGCTTCCATCGCATGGCGCGCGGAGCGAGAGGCGCGATCGGCGCGCGGAGCGAGAGGCGCGATCGGCGCGCGGAGCGAGAGGCGCGATCGGCGCGCAGTGGGGGCAGCGGAGGAAGGCGCGCGACGTAGACGCGGAAAGGCATGCGGCGGGGAAAAGGGATGTGTGTGGTGTGAGGCGACGCGTGACATTTGGGTTGGGATGGGAGAAGCAATTTTGAGGAATTGCTGAAGTGAATGGTGATGTGAAAAAGCAAGCGAAGCGATGCAATACTGCGGCCGATCACGGTGGGACTCGAACCCACAATCTCCCGCTCCGGAGGCGAGCGCCTTATCCATTAGGCCACGCGACCACGATTGTTGCATTATTAACAAATTTTTATTTAATATTTTTAGCCATGTTTCGAATTCCACTCACATGGTGGCTCTGCAAGAGGCGCGAATTTCGGCCGAAGCATTCCCCGTGGCGGTGCAAGACGACCGCCGCTTCCGCAACCTGCTGCCTGGCGCGGACGAGGCGGAAGGGCGGGCGGAGGGGCGTGGGGAAGGGCGCTCGGAGGGGCATGCAGAAGGGTGGGCAGAGGCGGAAGAGCGGCAGGGAGGAGAAGAAGGGTCCGGGAGAAGGGGAACTACTGGGGCCGAGGAAGAGACCAGCGCAAAAGGCGTGGGAGTAGGCAGTGAAATCGGCGCGCGCGACGCGACACGTGTCGGGAGGCGATTGGCGCTCCCTTCAGAGGAGGCGTTTCTTGGAGCTGGCCTTGCGCTCAAGGATGAGGTGCGGTGATGGCGCTGCACGGTGCATATGGCATAATGCATGGCCGCGCGCTGGGGCGCTGTAAGCGCGCTGCATGGCCGCGCGCTGGTGCGTGGTTGCATGGGTAAGTGCTGCATATGCGAAACGGCTTGCTCAAGGCGCCTCGTCATCATGATTGCGTGCCTTGAAGGGCATGATGTAAGACAACCACCCAAACGAGTGCCTCACCTCGTGCCTTCCCCTTTCCACCCGCTCTCAGGTGGTCCATGCCACGTGGCGGAACCGTAGGCCTCCACGTGGCAGAAAGACAGACCCCTTCCTGTACACGGGCCTGCTGGGAACCGCCTTCGTGTGCCTGCGTGCCTTCCACGTCATTCGCAGCAGGGCTGACCTGGACCTCGCTGCTGACATCACTCGAGCTGCTGCTGAGCTGGCAGAGCGTCAGGACTGCGTGTGAGGGCCCAAGTTTCACGCTGATTAAAGATTCGCCTCGCTCAGACCCTTCTCCATTCATGCAACGGATTTTGATGTACCTCGTTAGCCGCCCCTGCCCCGCCTCCCACCCCACCTGCCAGCAACTCACTCATCGCTACAACCACGCACATGCCTCCCTCACATCACATCACACCCCTCTTTCCCTTGCGCTCATGCCATTCTCTTCTCGCCACCCACCCCCGGTCCCCCATCTCTGTCAGCCGCCATACTTTCTTTTGCGGGCAGCCACCCTCCCAGGCAGTTCTTTGCACATGCGTGGCAGCCACCCTCCCAGGCAGTTCTTTGCACATGCGTGGCAGCCACCCTCCCAGGCAGTTCTTTGCACATGCGTGGCAGCCACCCTCCCAGGCAGTTCTTTGCACATGCGTGGCAGCCACCCTCCCAGGCCGTACCTCCCTCCTCCCATACCCAGTGCCACGCTCGCGCTCACCCTCACACTCACATTCACTCTCACTCCCCATCCTCACCGCACTCCTCTCCCCACAAACGATGCAAGGAGAGCACGAGTGGCACACTGGCAGCCTCCTCCTCCCCTCCTCCACCCTCCCCCTCTCCCCCATCCTCCTCCTCCTTCCCACCACCACCAGCCTCCGCCCCTTGCGCCCCTCCTCTCATGTTCGCATGGCACGAGAAGCGCTACTGGGGGGCAGCACATGGGCTGGCGGGGATTGCCCACACGCTGCTGCTGGGGGCGTGGCACATGGGGCATCTGGGGCAGGTGGGACGAGTGGGCGAGGTAGCAGCAGCAGAAGCGGAGGAGGGGGCAGGGGAAGAGGGCAGGGAGGCAGCGGAAGAAGGGGGCAGGGAGGCGGTGGCAGTGTTGGAGTGGATGGTGGGTGGCAGGCTGCCAAGCGGTAACTACCCCTCCAGCGAAGAGAAACGGCTCACTGCCGCTGCTGTTGCTGGGGGAGGTGGTGCTGCAGATGGTGGGGCTGGGGGAGGTGGTGTGGAGGGGGGAGCACGCAAGGCGGCAGCAGGTGGGGCGGACAGGTTGGTGCAGTGGTGCCACGGGGCTCCTGGTGTGGCCATGGCGCTTGCCCTCGCTGCTACGGTATGTGCTGTGCGTGTGCCGTGCATGTGCTGTGCGTGTGCCGTGCATGTACCATGTTGCTGGCATCTGTGGTTTCTGTGGCATGTGTTTGCAGTGTGCATATAACCTGCTCTGCCATGCATGGGTAATGCAGTCACACATCACGGCATCATGCCATCATATTCCTGCGCTTCTGCACTGGCCTTCCTGCTCCTGCCACTCCCACCATGCCTCCCACCATTGCATGCCTTGCTGTGGTCCCAACCCATGTGCCACTCATGGGCTCAACACTCAACCACTCGCTGCATTCACGGCCATTGCACTCACGGCATCTCCACCCGTCCATGCACATGCCCCCTCTCCTACCCCTACTCTGCACCAGTCACACCCGAGCAGGCAGCACCTGCTGGCAGCAGCGGTGGCAGCGGGTGAGGTGGTGTGGCAGCGGGCGAGGTGGTGTGGCAGCGGGCGAGGTGGTGTGGCAGCGGGCGAGGTGGTGTGGCAGCGCGGCCTGCTGCGCGAGATGGGGCTGTGCCACGGCATCGCTGGTAACGCATACGCCTTCCTCTCCCTCCACCGTGCCAACTCCGCTCTCCATGCCACCGGCAACAGGGAAACCGACAGCATGCAGGAAACCACCACTCCCGCCCTGCCCCCTCCCAGCACGCACCTGCACAGAGCGCGTGCGTTTGCCGCCTTCCTGCTGGCCCACCGCCAGCGCCTCGCAGGTGCCGCCCTGCTGCACTGCGGCGACCGCCCCTTCTCCCTCATGGAGGGCCTGGGCGGCGTCGCTTGTCTCTTCCTGGACATGGCCCGGCCTGACGACGCGTGATTTCCGGGTTTCGCGATGTGATTGCACAGAGGGGCCTTGGCAGGGGCCTTGAAAAGGGCATTGGCAGGGGCATTGACAGGGGCATTGGCAGGGACATTGACAGGGACATTGGCAGCAAAATGGAAGATCGAGGAGAAGGAAACAAGGGTCATGGACTGGCGTTTGAGGTTGCAGCATGGTGTTGCTGCTTGTATATATTGTGCACATGTGAATGAAGCTGTTGACGGGAATCGGGAGCAAAGTTGAAAAGCTTCCAATCTGACGGAGGAGGGGAATATCAGTCCCAGAGGTTCAGGCAGTACCTCGCAGCACAAGGCATCAAGCGATTCATCTCGCTTCCCTACGCCCATCAACAGCAAGGCGTGGCAGAATGGATGAACAGAACTCTCCAGAACACCATGCGTTCTGCCCAATCACCAGTGGCCTGAGGCGATGGACCACGCTGTCATGCTGCACAACTTGCTCTCGTCGTCATCACTTCCGAACAACGCATCACCGCACCTGCTGTGGACAGGAAAGCTGGGCAACACAAAAATGTTACGAGCTTTCGGGTGCATGGTACAGTACCGCCCGCACACTGCAAGAGCCGGAAGATTTTCTCAACGCGCACAGTGGGGACTACACCTGGGCATCGAAAAGCATTACAACGCATGGAAGATTTTTTATGTCCACTCGAAGGAAACAGTAGCAGCACATGATGTCATCTTCTACGAGCGACTCACACTTCAAACGTACCTGGACAATCTGGCAGCAAATCGAGACCTCACGGGCGGCTTCCGTGGCAACCGAGCCTTCGCTTCAGCAGCATACAAAGCTGACTGGGACGAGCAAAACGTGGACAACACATCCGAGGAAGCAGGACCACTCCCATACTGCTCCGTGCCCATCCCGATGGATGACGAAAATCCTCGCGAAAGTGTCAACGCCGAAACTTATTTCGATTTCGCTGACACTGGTTACGTAACACCCCAACCGGTCGACACCAACATCTCCGAACGCATAGGACCCAATTTCTTACCAAACCCTGAAGCAGGAGACGAAGCAACTTATCCAGAAGACACAAATCTCCCCCGCTACACACAGAGTGGCCTGCAGATACTGGGACTCGTCACCGTTGTCCACGGAGCAGCACCACCTAAGGAGACTGCTACCATTCAGCAGGCTCTGGAGGGGGAACACAGGGAAAAATGGCGTGAAGCCATGGACAAAGAGTTGAAGGCGCTGCAGGAACGCAACACCTGGAAAGTCGTGCCTATCGAAGTAGCACGCAACAAAACCATCCTCACGGGAAAATGGGTTTTCCGCGTGAAAACAAAAGCTGACGGAACAATCGACAAGTTCAAAGCACGTTGGGTCGTGCGGGGCTTCGACCAAGAGCAAGGGCGATATTTCACGGAAACATTCGCCCCAGTAAGCCGACATACCTCACTGCGGATTCTCCTCGCGATCGCCGCCATGAACCGGAAGAAGCTTCGACAAATCGATGTCGCCAACGCCTTCCTCTACGCCCCCGTCGACGCTGACGTTTTCGTCGAACTCCCGCACGGGTCCAACGCAGGCCCAAATCAAATCTGTCAACTGGAGAAGTCGCTGTACGGGATCAAGCAAGCCCCGAGACTGTGGCAGCAGCATCTTCACGCCCGCCTAATTCGCATCGGATTTCTTCAACTACCACACGACCAAGGGATGTATCGACTGATGAAAGGTACCGACTACATTATACTTATGGTCTACGTCGATTACCTTCTCTACATAGGCTCCACCGACGTCATAACGACATGGTTTGAAGGGGAGCTGCAGGGAGATCTAACTCTCACCGTCGCAACTACCGTGACACAGTACCTAGTGTTAAGATAGTGGCACAAGTGGTAGTTAGGTTTAAGTGAGGGCCTAGGCTTAGTAGCCTAGGCCAAGGGAGTCGAGGGAGTTTGTGCCAAGCAGAGAAGCGAGAATTGGAGAATGGATGACTTCACTATAGGTTTGCAAGAACATATAGCAAATGAACAAAGAAGGTGCACCACCTAACAAAGTTTATAATAACTACACTAACTACAGCTATAGGCAGTTACAGATATATTCTAACACCTAGGACTGAACATCGAAGACAGTGACAATGCCATCTACCTCAGCGCTGCGAAATACACGGACATTATTGCTAAACGTTTCGGACTCATTCCAACCGCTATCTCCACGCCATACCGCTACACCGACGGAAATCAAAAAGCCTCCGTCCTACTCAAACCTGCTGGCATCCGCGACTACCAAAGGAAGCTAGGCTGCCTACTCTTCGCAGCCGTCACCTGCCGACCGGATCTATCCTACTCAGCTAGCCAACTCGCTACATACCTCAAGAAGCCTGAAGCAGAGCACATGCTCGAACTCGACCGAGCACGTCACTACCTCGTCAGCACTCCGACGATCGGACTAACCTACCACAAGACCAGCACCGCAACACCTAAACTAATCGGTCACGTTGACGCCGATCACGCTGGAGACTCCGATAACAGACGGTCTCGAACAGGCTACGTCTACAAACTCGAACCTATCGGGCCTATCTCATGGCAGTCGAACAAACAAGAGCTAATCACTCTCTCGTCAGCAGAAGCAGAATATATCGCACTCTGCTCAGCCACCAAGGAAGGGCTATATCGTCGCGAACTACTGGAGGAAGCAAAATTGGCCCAGTTACCCAACTTCTCTCTCTTCTGCGACAATCAATCGGCCATTCGCATAGCGAACAAAAACGGGTTCGCGAACCGAACGAAGCACATCGCCCTTCGGTACTTCTTCGTAAAAGACGAAATCGAAAAGGGAATACTCGAGCTATCCTACTGTCCCACATCCGAGATGGCAACTGATTACTTGACCAAGAAACTCGGAAAACAAAAGTTCGAGTACTGCATGCTGCTGACTGGACAAGGACACGTCATCAGCAGCGATTCTCTAGAAGCGAAGGGGAGTGTTGGAAACAAGTGATTTAAACGCTTCTGTCGTATCGAAACTTAGACACGAAACGGAGCTGACTACAGCGAAGAAGCAATCGAGTCAACCAAGGCAACCGTCGGAGGTTACGCGAAGGTCAAAATGTGAGAATAAGCAGTAGAAGAAGGCGCCATAGCTAGGTTAGTCCTAGCTAGGCAAGAGAAGTTTAGGCAAAAGAGGAGTTGCACTAGCAAGAATGAGGATACAAATAGCAAACCCTAGAAGGGTTGTACTCGCTATAGAGCACCCCACTACAGGCTAGAGCATAATATTCTGACACAAAAGTCTCCGACCTTTGACCTGACAAAACGAACAGTGCGACAGCAAGGACACATAACTGACTCGTTACTGAGCAGTTACCCGAGTCGGCAATGTATCGAACCGCAACAGCAAAAACAGTTAAAGTAGAACTTTTCATATTCTTTATAATCATATAAAAGGTTTGTATCTCTTTGCTATTATTCAACTTATCTTGTTCTCACACACTAGTACAAGGTGGTTCAAGACAAACTCTTATTAAACGCTTCCGCAAAATTACATCTCTACGTCAACACCTGATCTTAGTCCTGAAAAGATCCTAAGGGCCTTTTTCAGCCCAACATCTGTTCTGTTTGATTTGATTACATTTGGATAAATTGTGCCCTATAGTTGCTCAGTCGTTCGTGAAGTATTGAGGTCGACGTGAATAAGCCAACCTTGTTGAAGGTATGGGACACACTGCAACTTGTGGCCTCAAAATCAACCCTAAACTACCATCGCAGCAGCAACAGCAGGAGCAGGAGACGTACCGCAACTGGGCATCTAAACACAATGCACAATCAAACGTAACGTAACTAGTACTGCCTCAACGCGTCATCCCCACAAATGTAACCTACAGTAATCTAGTAGATGAGATCTCATCAGGCATAGACCATTCAGTACTCCATACACTATGTACCACACGCGCTGTGTGTGAAACAAGGCAGCCTTGCGGCACCCTGCCATTGTGCAACAGATCTCATACCAACCAACAGGTGGAAGTGATTCAGAGCATGAGTCGGCTGGGTGGGGGCAGGTTGGGCAGGGAGGCAGTGGTGTTGGGGGAGAGCACATGCGGCGCCACCACCATGGACGGCCCCACCGACCCCACTCGTCTCACATGCACGGGAACCAGCCGACCGCCGCCATCCACCTGCGCTACCAGCTCCCACTGCTGACGTGTCATGACAACAGACTCTCGCTCGCCCTTCTCCTTCCCACCTACCTCTCCTCTCCTCTTCCTGCCGTCACTCCCATCCACCTTCTGCTTCTCTGCTTTCTCGTTCATCCCACCCTCCCCCGCTTCTGCCCTGATTCCGTCCTCATTTGAGGCTGTCTCGTTATTGAGCGCCACGGGCAGCATGGACTGGCCAACGCCCTCCACCCTCAACTCCACCTGCAAAGGAATGCGAACCACCCGGCCAGCAGAAGCACTGGCCTTTACCAGCTGGAACACGCGGGGCAAACCGTCAGACGCACCACCACCACCACTCCCACCGTTCCCCTTGCCCTTCCCGCCCTTCCCCTTGCCCTGCTGCGCCACCATCTCCCCCAGCGCGCCCTGCAGCGCCTGCCCCAGCGCCGTCAGCCGCCCATCCGACCGGTTCACTGCTGGGAACGGCCATGGCCCTGGTTGGGCTGTGAGCGACGCCAGAGGTAGCGCCGCCGCGAGGGAAGAAAGGGCGCTTTTTGCTGCTGCTGCTGACGTCGATCGCGGCTTCGCTATCGTCAGCTCCACTGCGCCTTCTGCTATCCGTTTGACTCTGAGCTTGGCGGGTGCAAGGGCAGTAGCGGTACTAGAGGCGGTATTCCCGAGATCGTCAGTCGCACCTGCCCCAGAAACAGCCTCCACCAGGCCGATGCTAGCGACGTCGCGAGCGGGGGGGAGCGGGGAGAGCGGCACGCTGGCGGCGACGATGGCGGATGGGCGCACCACGCGGAGCGACACGAGCTCGCGCGGCAGGGGCGACGCGGACGAGGGCGCGCGGGACGGGGAGGTC